TTTTTTTTTTTTTTTTTTTTTTTTGGTTTTTTGAGACAGGGTCTCACTGTGTAGCTGAGACTGTCCTAGAACTCACTATGTAGCCCAGGCTAGCCTCGAACTCACAGCAATTCTCCTGCCTCAGCCTCCCGAGTGCTGGGTGTCTTTGTTTATTGATACAGAGAAATGAACCCAGAGTCTTTGAGCTATATACCCAGTCCCCCATGTTGGGCTACAACTTGTGATCCTCCTGCCTCAGCCTCTAAGAGTGCTGGGATTACAGCCACCTGCCACAGTTTAATTGTCACTATTTTTTAAAGTGGTACTGGGAATGGAATGCAGAGTCCCATGAACGCTAGGCAAGTGCTCTACCACGGAGGTGCATCCCTAGTCCTTAGTCAATCATTCTTTGTCTAATCTTCCAAGGTCATCCATCTCACCTGCCTCTCCTTTTCCTTAAAAATAAAAAAAATACTACATTTAAGTTTCTTAGTGTCCGTAAATTTACATCCAACTACCTGTGGCCTGCTGAGCTCCATGGAGCTGAGGCTCAAAGAAAACATTCTATCAATGACAAATTCACAAATGCTCGAGCTCCAGTACAAAATTTGCAATCTCTAACCATGTTCATCATTCCTCTGGGTTTCTCTGTAGTTCATACTAATCCAAGCATCTGCAGGTTTCATCTCAGAAGAAAATGCCACCATAACAGTTCACAGCTAGCCACAGAAATTCCAGCGGGTAGGAACCACCAGAGGGTATTTTAAGATGCAGGCACTTGAGTCGTCCCTTCAGACCCAGGGGACCTGGAGCTGGACCAGGCAACTGCATTTGAATCAGCTCCCCAACAAGGATGATAAATGGTGGGGCCACTGCAGATGACCGGGTGCTTCTGACCAGCCAGATGGGATGGCCGGTGGCTCAGCTTGGTCCTGGGAAAACAAAGCCAAACAAAACTACCTGGGATTGAGACCAGAGTTCTGCTGTCTAGAACATCCTGTGTACCCTCAGCAATTTTGACAAATCTGGAGTGACCCTCTTTGCAGCATGTGGAGCTCAGAGGAACATGCCCTCTCCCGCTGGGAGGTCTAATCTCCCTTCCTATTGGGAAGGTGGCCTCACAGTCTCCACCTGACTGGGCCTCCTCACCTCGTAGCCCAATAGTTAGTTGCTCACACTCTAGGAGGGTCGGTTTGGAGTCTGCAGCCAGGGGCCGGCCCACAGTGAGCACTCGGGAATACCAGCTGCCCCTCACAGAGGAGTCAAGTGCTTAGCAAAACCAGGACTTAACCCATTGCTTGTTCTGTGCCTTAGTTCCCGCCTCTATAAAATGGAGATGAGTTGTAAAAACTAGGAGGAATGACATAACCATGCCTAGCCCGGCCTCTGATGAGTAAGCCCTAATAACTGTCCATATGATCACTATTACCAGGTTTGAAAGTCCAAGAGTGACATAAAACCTGTTCCTGTCTGAGCTGGAGTTTTATTCCCCATGTTACTATCTACCCTAGTGATGCCTGGTGTGTGCACGTGTGTACATACCCGTACGTGTGTTGGGGACTGAACCCAGGCTTCATGTGGGCTAAGCACGCTCTCCAACTGAGCCACACCTCCTTGTCCCTCTGCTGATGCTGAATGGCCAGTGTGGTCCTCAACCCTTGCTGGGGCCACCCTGGTTGTACCAGGAGAGCTGACCACCCTGAAAAGCCCTGCCTGAGACATGCACCAGGCCTGTGCTTTTCCTCTGCAAGTCCAGCTGGGGGAAGTTCTCTGCAAATGTATTCCTGAGCCAAACCCCTCTGAGAAGTTTCTCAATGGGCAAGAGTTCAACACTCACATTTATTATGTCCACGATACACCAGGTGTGGGGCTGGCACTGGGAATACAGTAACAGCAATAAACAGAGCAGAGCCTTCCTTTGCCACAACCTCACAACAGTGAAGTAAGTGGAAGCAGCTCTTCCTCATAAAATTAATAGTCACCCATTAAAAAAGGTTGAAGGTAGGGCTGGGGATTTAGCTCAGCGGTTCGGTGGCCTACCTTGAAAGCGCAAGGGCCAGAGTTCAATCCCTGGCACACACACACACACACAAAAAAAAAAAGTTGAAGGAAAGCTGGGTGTGGTGACGCACGCCTGTAATCCCAGCACTCGGGAGGCTGAGGTAGGAGGATCGCTGCAAATTCAAGACCAGCCTGGGCTACATAGTGAGTTCCAGGTCAGTCTCAACTACACAGTGAGACCCTGTCTCAAAAAAAAGGTTGAAGAAGACAGAGAAAAAATGATTCTTCTTCTAGTAACCATTTTAAACCAACCCACCACTCCTTGTGTTACTTCTTCCCGGATCCTCCTTATGCATGTTCTTCACCTGGTTTTGACCGCCGTGTGTGCCAACTATTTCTCCTTGCCTGGATGCCATAGCAATTTTCCATATTACGTGTCCATCGTCAGTACTATGTCATGGTCATGGACCATGTTCCGGCCCATCGTTGCACAGAGGACAGTTAGATTGCTCTCAAATTGCCCCTGCTGCCCAGCCAGTCACCTCCACACACTCATGCACACAAACAAAGAAGACAAGCCAATAGTCATGTAATTCCACTGTGGCAAACACCCGGGGCTGAATAAGGACCTGGGTGAACTTGGGCAACTTGTTTTTCAAAGACTCAGACAATCCACAGAAGTCCCTCTGGACCTAGGTACACACAGCAGCTTTCCACAGCCTCTGAACAGACTGCTGAACTTGGGGGACACAGGAGTCACTCGCTGCACTGTTTAGAAGACAGGGATATGTGCTGTTGTGAGACTTTCTTCAAAATGATTTAGGGTAGCTGGGCGTGGTGGCACACACCTGTAATCCCTGCACTCGGGAGGCTGAGGCAGGAGGATCGCTATGAATTCGAGACCAGCCTAGGCTACACAGTGAGTTCCAGGTCAGTCTCAACTACATAATGAGACCCTGTTTCCAAAAAATAAAATAAAATAAACAATAAATTTTTAAAAACTGATTCAGGATTCATTTTGCTAAAACTAGCCAACCAAATAAGTTACTCCCAAATACTATAGAAAAACCTTGCTTTTTCTCTAATAATTTCTTTTTCATTAAAGGAGAAAATTAACTTTGTATTTAAAAAAGGGCTCAGGAAGATAATATATGCATGGCTAAATGAAGCAGATATGGCAAGTGCTAGCATATGTTATACCTATGTATAGTGGAATGGGCCAATAAGGCTGCAAGTATACTCATATTTATGGTAATGTGTTTTTCTATATCTCTAAATATTTAAACTTTTTTCATAATAAAATCTTGAAAAAGAACTTTAGGTTTAAAAGATAAAAATGGGCCAGGCACAGTGGTGGAAGGATCATAGTTGCAGCCCAAGCTGGACAACTTAGCAAGACCCTGTCTCAAAATAAAATTAAAAGGGGCTGGGGATGTAACTCAGAGGTCCCTTGGTTCAGTCCCCAACAATACAAAAATAAACTTATATATAAAAAAAGATAAAACAAGTTGTGTGTGGTGGGGCATTCCTGTGATCCTAGCACTTGAGAGGCTGAGGCAGGAGGATCCCTGTGACTTCAAAGCCAGCTTGGAACACATAGCAAGATCCTGTTTCAAAAAAGGTTTCATATTTGAAAAGTTCCATTGTATCCATTTACTTATTCAACAAATATTATTTCAATATAGTCACAAGGGGCTGGGGATTTAGCTCAGTGGTTCTGCCGCCTGCCTCGCAAGCACAAGGTCTCAAGGCCAATCCTTGGTACCAAAAGAAAAAAAAATCAATATAGTCAATGTAAATATAAGCCAGCTTCCCTGTTGCTGAGACACAAAACCCCGGTGCCTGAGGAGAGGTTTAATTTGGCTCACATTTTCAAGGGATTCAGTCCATGGCCTACTAGCTACAAGGCAGGAACACCATAATGGAAGGAAAAGTAAAGATGCTTAGTCACACTGGCTGGGAGGCAAAATGGGAACAGCACCCACGAGGAAGAAGTGAAGGACTAGACACAGACCAAGGCTACAACTCCATGACCCCCAGGCACAGCCAGAAGTATGGTCCGCTGATCCCTCAGGTGGTTTCTAAGGCCAACCAAGGTGACACTCTACTTGTGATGCCCATGGTCAACAAATATTAACGCAGCACAATACTTGTCATGCAGAGAACTGACCTGGTCCCAACCTCACTGAGCTTACTCTTTGGTATTTCCTTTGGGTCAGGCATTTATGTGCTAATTATTACAGGTATAATTCTTGATTTTAAAAAAAGCTTACATAGGACTTTGGTAAAAGTATCAATCTTTTATGTGTCTTATGACAAAATCTTTTCTCCCCTGCCCTCAAGCTCTCAATTGTTTCACTGGTCACATACGGAAGTTAGAATTTTATCATATGGTCAGATCTGTTTTTTGGTAGAACTGAACCCAGAGCTCACAAATATCCTTAACCACTGGTCTACACCCCCAGCCTATTAAAGTGGTTTTTGTTGTTTTTATTGTTGGTTGTTTTTTTGTTTTGTTTTGTTTTGTTTTTTGTACCAGGGATCAAACTCAGGACCTTGTGCTTCCCAAGCAGGTACAGTGTCACTGAACTACATCCCCAGCCCCCTATTGAAGTTTTGATGACTTTTTCTATTGGTTTTGAACTTTGGAAATCAACCTGGAGCCCAACATTTTATATAGGTTAAATTATATTTATTGTGCATGTGTGTGTGTGTGTGTGTGTGTGTGTGTGTGTGTGTACACACACACACACATTTCTGTCTCAGTATTATTACTGTGCTGGCTGGGTGTGGTAGTACAGGCCAGTAATCCCAGCACTCTGGAAGGCTGAGGCAGAACTGCCAAGTTTGAGCTGAGTCATGGTAGTGACTTAGTGAGACCTTGTCTCAAAAAAC